ATTCCTAAGAGTTAATAATAAGTCAATAATTTTTAAGCATTGTAGTACTTATACGCTACCAGTAAAAATATAATTAATTTTTAAATTAAAATAAAATTGACTAAAATAATTCGAAAATAAAAAAAAAATAATATTAATAACCAAATACTACAATATTAAAATTAATTTTAAAATTCAGCTTCAATAATATACATATATATACATATAATAAACTCTAGCAGCATAGAAAAGGCATAGATAAAAAGTATAGAATGAAACTTTTATTAGAAAATTTTTTACACATTTAGAAGCAAATCAGCATCTTGCCTTAAGCTTTGGCTTTTCAACAAATTTATTTTTTAAGTTAATTCATATTTTACCTCATCCTATATGCATAAACCATCAGTCCAATTATTTTTAAGAAACATAATGCAAATTCATATGTATATGCAAAATAAAAAATGTATAATTAAAATCATACAATATATGACAATTATAAAGGGTATAATCATTCACTATTTTTAAACTATAAAATATCATTCAAAATTATAAAAATTTATATATATACCAATATATTTCAACGACAGTACTATAGAATATTGAACTGACCTGTTCATTTTTGGGTGCTTTTAATGTTGTATAATCCATAACAGCATTTGCAGGTAATTTTTGTATTTTATCCCAATCAATGGACGGACCCTCTATTATATGGAAATTATAATTTTAAAAATTTTTAATATTATTTTAGTTTCTAATTTTTCAAGAAATTATATGTTACCCTCTTGTAGAAAACGTCCAAACAAATCGGCAAACCGTCCCATTTCCTGCTGTAGTGGTGACCTTTTACTAGTCTCAGATGTCTGAAGTAACCGATCCAATTCATTTTCAAGCAAACGGAGTGCATCACGTTTGGTTACCTCATGAAATTCTTTAGAATCGGAGGGCACTCTTTGATGACCACGTACCTAAAAAGAAAAAAAAATATTTAATATATAATTTATTTGTATGTTTGTATTAATTTTAAATACATATACGACATATATATTTATATGAAAAACATATCTAAGAATTGAATACAACGAGTTAAGGTATATGTTTAAAGACAATTTCAAAAGTTCAAAAGTTCAAAGTTAAAAAAGTTGTAGTAACTTAATGGCTTATCAAAGAGAACAGTTGTACTAAACGACCTGTTAGATCTATTTAATTCGTTTATTGTCATATACCCAAGCATGTGTTTAACTACAACTGTCTAATTTTCGTAAGACACATACAAATTTAAAAACAATTAATTTTTGTGAATTAATGTGATTCCATTATTCCTTTCTCGATTTCTCTCTTTTCCCCACTATCATATTCCCTACTTTACAATCCACTCCTTTCATCTTTATTCATCACCATTTTAATTTCTGTCAGATCAGCTGGATCACAAGACAGATATCTCCTTTTAGACTATCTCTTTGACTTCACCAGTTACAGATTAAGGCTCTCGATAAACATTACATTATCTATGGATTTATGTTTCCAGGTCTTTGCTAGTTTAGTGGTAACCTAACAAAAGATACTGGATGGAAATTTTAACAATCGCTGAATATAAGCTAAAAATGCGTTAAAGCAACGATGTTGTTTTATAAAATTTTATAAATACATACTTTTCTAAGTACTGATGCAATGGATATCTCTCAAGCCACATGAAGGGAGTTATGGTATGGTATGGTATGGTAGTTTCATTGCAATCGCATAATTCAAAAGAGTTTTACTTTATTCATATCAGCTAACTAAAGTATAGAAATTTTTTGGGTTTAATTGAATTAAGAAGTCTAAGATTGAAGAAATTTAATAGTTGCTTAAATATCTGAATATAAAATAATGCTGGAGCTTGTATTTCAACTTCTAACGACTTTTAATCTAGCTTCATTGACTTGATAAAATTGTCACAAAAAAAATATTTCGATTAAAAGGGTGAATTCGATCTGGGTTTTTATGAAATCAGTATCACTTTTTTTCAAGTTGTGACGTAAGTGGTACTACATAATGATGCCTTCATAGTTAGATAATATGACAAGTGAAAGATATGATTGTACCCAACAACCATACCTAAAGCAAGTTTTTCTTTAAGAGAGTATAGTTGGAATTTGTTTTATATACATACAAAAATATATAAATATATATATATATTGTAGTTTGCTGGGAGTTGTAGAGTAGTTTTCATAAAATGTAATTATGATTTTATTTAGAAATGTTTAATAAAAAAGTATCTCAATGGGAATGTGAATTGTAAGACAGTTTTATATAGTTTATGATGATCTGTAGAATGTTATGTGGAAAAGTGCCTACTTAACAATTATGATATAGATTTAGTTGTATTTATTATTATTTCGAGATAAAATAAAAAATACATAAATTTTAAAAAACTTAATATGTGGAGCCATATATTCTCAATACTTAACTAGTCTTGAATCTACACTAGAGTAGGAGAACTTTTAATTAACTTAATTATTCAGTTCTCTGCAATATCCAAATGGTTTTAAAATTATATGAGAAAGAACGTACTAAGTAGTAAACCAAAAACAATCAGCATTTATGTAAAGGTGCGCTTTTAAAAAAATAAAAGCTGGTGTTGTTTTTATAATGGAAATATATTCCAAAGCTAATGGTTTCAAAATTACAAAATTATTCCCCAAATCCACTTAAATTCCATTGTCACAAAGTCTTTATTTTAGTTAATCACTAAGCTTTATTTTGTTCCGGTCGAGGTATTGTTGCGATTATTTTAGGTAAAAAGACAATTTAAAACCGTGCGTGTCACTTGGAAGCGTTGAATGAAAATTTTTCAATTTTAAAGCAAATCCAAGAAAGAAAAAATAATGAAACTGTCTACCAACACATAATGAAAAGGAGAAGATACTCACTCAAGTGACAACATTTTTTATGGAACATATTTACTTCGACTGTATTGTTAAGATTTCGTAAAGTAAAAATTTCACCTGAACAGCAAAAATGTTTAAAAAAATTTTAGTTTGAATCAGTTTGCTGGAAGACGTTAAATGTTATATAGGAAAATTAGTTTTCATACAAAATGAAACAAAATTTTAAATTAAAATATATTTATATCATTCTGATTCTATATATGTGCTTAGCTTCTTTTGAAGCTAAGAATGTGAAGAAAAGAGGAGTGATGGATAATCTAAACGAAGGTATTAAGTATGCTGGACAAATGTTTGGTGAGTAAGTGACCTCTGCAGAAGATGCAGATAACTAAAACGAATAGTTAGTGCTTAGTTTTATATAATTATTTATATATAATAAAATATTTATAATTTTATGACCAAACGATTTTTAATATAGTATTTTTTTGGTCAGTTTTTCGTAATTGTTAAAAATAAAAATTAAAAAAAAAAGCAATGAGTTATTTTAAAATAATTTTTATTTAATCGATATTTAAAGTCATCAACGGGAAACTCATCGTTGACTAATGAAAACATTATATAAAATAAATTAAAAGTTAAATAAAAATAATATGTGATAATATAGAAATAAATTAAATTATTAAGAAAGGTGTCTAAAAACATAAACAATTTATGAATGAACAATTTTTAAAATTAAATTTTATTTTACTTTTCTGTCATTGTGCGTTTAATATTTAATAAGAGAATAAAAACACGAATATATCCTATTTTATTAACAACGGTATCACGTTGTTCTTATAATAACCTGTGATACGATCGCTCCAGTTATACTTTCCTCTTAAAACAAAAAGCTCATTCAAACTTCAATAAGAGTTAAATATTGACATTTACAATAACGAGTAAAGGATTTAAAGGAGGGAAGCTTACCACATGTAAGAGAGGAGAGCTTGATATATAATATTCCAATCATAAGAAGGATTATAAAAAAACTGAATCAGTTAAATGTTTTTATAAAGTTATTATTGACAGCATCTATAACGAAGTTAGCTAAACAGAATCTTAAGTACTATCACTCTTATAATATATATATATATTCTGTGTACAGTGTTATCGAAAATACAAAAACCTAGACGGGTTTTTTAGCGATTCTTCCTAGACGGGGAAGGTTGCTAAAGAACGTACACTAAAAAGATATTCTAATATGCCTTATTGTTTATTAAATTGTGTTTATTTAGTTTATTTCAAATTAGAGAAACTCTTTATGATTCCATGAAACTCCATACTAAATATATCACAATAAAACATATAACAAAATCCATATCTTTTACCATAGGTATCAATACAGCTGCTGATGTTGCTAATTTAGTAGCAAAAGCTTTTTCCACAACTACCAACAGAAAAAAGCCTGATTTAATGTCATTATTTCAACCATCTCAACAACAAGATACATCAGCCGAAGAAGATAATCAGCAATCAGAACAAAATGAACCACCACCTTCTAAAGTAGATATTGGCTTCGATACGGCAAATCTACTAACGGGGGTGCTACGAATGATTGGATTTGATGCTAGCAAATTGGGCGCAATAGCTATCAATACCCTTATACTAGTAGCTCAAGCAGTAAGTATTCTACTTGCAGTAGAACAAGTTATTAAAATTGATTAAAAAATTTAAATATATCATATATAAAACATAAAAAATAGATTGGCAGCACAATCTTATCAGCAACAAGACCACCTCAACGTTTAGCAACGGTTAAACAACACGGTGAAGACTTGAACTCACAAACGGGAATGGGGCCTGACGCTATTTATGAGCAAAATGAACATCAACCTAGAAAGTTACGAGATGGTTCACCTGTTGATTGGTTTTTAGAAAATCCCAACGAGAAAATGAAACAATTGCTTACGGAAATTACCGATAAAAATTTATCAGATAAAGTAATCACAATGATTGAAGAGAAAGAAACAGAACCAGGACAAGCTGGTTGCATAAAAATGTTGATGTGTAAAACTTCACCGATTATCTGGGGTATGCAGAAATCAGTCAATGAGCGTTTGAATAAAAACTCCACCAATGAGGTAAATACAAAAGACAGAGATGCACAACAGGATTTCAATGCTAAAGCATTGTTTAAGGATTTACCTAGTTTATCAGAGTTTCGAGCTCATAGCGATATATGCGAAAAGCGTTATGGCAGCTACTGTAATACGTCTGACTATGATTCAGTAAAAAAAAATTAAAACTAATTAAAAACAAAAAATACTATTATGCTTATTAGAAAAAATAATATGGCGCAAAATGTTTCCTTCCTTTGCGTGTATTTTGAAATTAATTTTAAGGTCAATATTTTGTTGGAACTTGGTTTAAGAGCTTCAAATAAAAATTTTAAAAGTTATTACTAAATGTTTAAATATTAAACTTTATTATGAAATCTTAAAAGTAGACACAATGAATTTGCAAACAAATAGTTTATTTTGTATTCGCACGCGCCATGAGATGGCAAATTTTATTCATGACTTTTCATTTGCAGCGAAGAAAGTCTAAACTTCAGTAATGTTACGGTACAATAATCTATCAAGTACTTGTGAAATATATTTGCGTGAGATCTATAAGAGAGAAGAGAGGAATAATGTCGATTTCAAAACTAAAAAAGAAACAAAACAACAAAAAATAATTATAATTATTGACATCGGTGAACAAACACAAAGTTATATCAATATTAATCATTATATGTATATTATGAATGTATTATCATTATATGTATATTACTAAAGCAGTTATTATAAACCAATGCTTATACGAAAAATGTTTAGTCAAAACACACAATATATAAACACAATATATAATCATATATTGCCTCTCACTTTCTTGCTAACCTTAAGGGATTTAAGGGCTTGCCATTTTAAGGTTTTGATATGATACCACTCTTTCAGTGATGTGTGTCAAAGAGAACTTTCATCCAAGATATCATGTGTGCAATTAAAGGTTTGTCACACAATCGATCATGTATGGTATAGCACATAATTTAATTGTATAATTAAACAACCAAGGATTTTCAGTTTGGAACACGATATTTCGCATCGATTTTTGTTCAGTGACTTGACTTATTTTTTATTTCGTGGATATATCAATAAACACAATAACTGTCTAAATATCATTGCATTGACTTTTTGATGTAGCATTTGGACTGGAAGGTCCATTTTTCAAAATTGCAAGTGACACAAAACTATTCATTTTGAACGAAACAATCAGAATTTTATTAATTTTTTAGCACAAAATTTAAAATACAGATGTGGAAAATATGTAGTTTCAACAAAACAATGTCACAAATCACACAACATGTATTATTTTAGCACGAAAAATTTTCCTGAAGTCCAATCTACTTTTTTGTGATGTCAATAAGTCACAAAGATTATGCAGTTTGACACTGCTGGGCGTTCGTTTATAAAGTTATGCAAAGACTGTTTAGTTATGGCAGGGCCGTTACTAACTATGTACCGACAAGTCATCCATATTCGATGATATCAAAAGGATCCAGTACTGTAAGATTTCTCGTGGATGATATTTAAATAGAGTTGTATTTTACACATAATGGGTAGGTCTAATGATATAATATATTAAAATCAAAATTTGCATCTATTTCCAACTCAAAACGACCCTGAGCATCCCCTTTGTTTCTGTGCGGCTCTCTCGAAAGTTCAAATAAAATTCTTTGAGAACCTGACTTCATTCCTGATATTAGAGTAAAATACATCTTAAAATTAGCTACAAATATACGAATCTTAAATATATATCGTCATTAACTATCTTTAATACCGGGAACGAAATAGCAAATAAAGCTAGTTTATGTGAGTGGCCGAAGAGGAGAGGAAACCAAACAGGGGGCGATATACTGGGACAAACTACCAGGTCTTCAACAATCCAAATCACTTATGGGTTTATTCAAACATAGCAGATTCAAGGACTGCATAAACCAGTCTAAGAACAGCTTAAGAATTATTACTACCTAGTAAAAAGCACCACCTAACGATACTAAAGATACGTGCTAATGCTAAGTCTAGATTCTGTAAAATCGACAAAGAGTTGGCAATGTATATACTTCGCAATTATTCTGAATTAATGCACAAAAGAAGGCGAGTACTAGGAATAAAAGCTCAGACTCGTTAAAGTAGAAATTATATTCAGTTTATCGAGGTAATCGGACTTAGAGAAACACTCTAAGTCCAGGAGGGGTACAATATATTTTAAGGTCGGAATGTATACACCCACATAATAATAATAACTAACTTTAAGCACTCTTAACTCGTATAGCTTCAGACCTATCTGGTCTATGCACACTTTACCTACTTTTGAAACCATAAAATTGATAATCCTGTATTATTTCGAGTCGTTTATTTATTTGCATTATCTTAAAGTCGCAAATTATAAACGTGTTAATGTAAATATAAATATCACTTTTATAAGTAATAATTTTTATTTAATTTTATTATAGTATTACCTATTGCTCGAAACTATACCAGTGAACTATAAAATCTTAAAAGTCCAATTGAAACTTGGCACTCAGTTCAAGCATCTAACAAAATATCTGCGTTTTATCTAAAAATGATTATTAATAATACAATTTTAATTTAACATATTTTTGTAAGGATCACTACAATGATAAAGATATATTTCTGTCCTTTTATATTAAAAATCCATAAACATTACATTACACTCAATACCAGTAAGTTCAATCTATATACCAATATATAATTCTTTTTAAATTTTTGAAATATAAAATAATATACTCATGCTCAGAACTGTCTATTTGAATTGCTACAATGATTATGATTTCTATCCTTTTATGATAAGAACTCAGAAGGCTATTCTTAAAGCTCAGTTCCAGTAAGTTTATTCAGATCATATCAAAACATAATTCTTATCACATCTTTCAAATATAAAATTATATACTTGTGCTCAAAACTGCCTATTTGGATTGATACAATGATAATGATTTCTGTCCTCTAATGGTAAGAACTCAGAAGGCTACTCTTAAATCTCAGTTCTAGTAAGTTTAATCATATCATATCAAAACATAATTCTTGTCACATCTTTCAAATATACGATCTATATATACGAGTAGTGCTCAAGTAGTAGTAGTAGATCTATATATATACAAGTAGTACTCAAAACTGACTATTTGGATCATCATAATGATAAAGATGTATTTCTGTCCTTGTGCAAAGAACCTATCTTTCTTATAAAAAAGATTATATTTATGCTCAAAGCTGCTAACACAGTAAAAAACATAAATGAAATACGAAATAAAATATTACTATTCTTAAAATAAAAACGCATCATAACAATTCTACTGTTGTAATTAATAAAAATTTTTATCAAATAAATATCACTAATAAATTTTATTAACTATCAAAGTATTTATTTATAAGTTTCATTGCACTTTAAAGAGTCTAGTACTACCATATAACGCCATATACGTTTATTCGTTATGAAGAAATTGTATATAACGAGGAGAGATTAGTGCACTCTTCAAATGCAAATATTTTGAAAAATAATTCTATAACTTGACTTTCAAATGTCTCCATGATAGACGATAGATTAGAAGGGTGTGCAAAATTCAAACCAATCGGCAAGGGCAATGTTAAAGGTGTGTACCAACACGTATATAGAGATAAGATTAGAATTTGTACTACATTCAGTTCTACTGTTAATTTTTTTTTGTAATATTAAAATAAATAACAAGCTAGTGAAGCAATAAATGTTTATAAATATGAAATATTTAAATTTTTCAATAACTATTGATATTAAAATGACTTCAATGAGCCATTATCAACAAACCATTAACCACATCAATAGCAGGCGCCTACATAGACTAATGAGTCTACAATTTCTGGCAATGACATTGAGCAAGGTTATGTTTATATTTCACTGATGCAATACTAAGATAAACCAGGAAATTTGTTGTTTTTTTTTTATTTAAATATTTGGCAATTTTGTTTTAATATATTTTATGCCAAATATTAATAATAAAAAACTATTTGCGTTCCAAATATACATAAAAACATGTGATTAAATATTAAAACAAAGAATATACAATTTTAAATTAAAAAATTAAGTAAACAAAACAAAAAGTTGTCAAGCTTTCAAATATTTACACATATTGTCCATTTTAAAGCGAAAAATAGGTTTTCGAAATACACACTTCGAAAATGTGGCAAATAAATATCGGACATTTCCAAACGCAACTGAGTGCTTGAATAAAAAAATTGCAGTTTTTAGATGCAAACACTTAGTTAATAATGTATTTGAGTAAATTTTTAAAATATGCATTTATTTGACTTTTTAAATGACTTTTTTAATACACAAAATAAGTCATTACGTGCTCGTTGCATTGCGTAAAATTTTTCAGACTTTATTGGAGATTAGCATTTTAAAGCAGCAACAAAAATGTTTTTCTTTAAATGCATTTAAACATAAATTATCTCAGTTAAAAATATTTTATAAAAAATATATTTTTTAACTGCACTTTTAACAGCAAATAAAATGCAATTAAGTTTACAACAGCAGCAAATTTTTAAGTATTTACTGACAAGTTCACACTTAGAATATTAACAATGAATGAGAATAAGAACAGCTGTGGAACGTATACGCACGGTTGTCCCTTTTGCTCAATGCAGTACAGCTGTACATACCTAACACTTTTAGTGTCTTGATTAGTTAATATTCATTAAAGTGTTTTCTACGCCTGCATTTAAAATATCAATTAACAAAAAATAATTTTTATATTCAATAATTTACAGTGCAATATATAAGTACCTATTTACTCGTACATTCCTCAGTTGCTTCCTCAGTACACTTACGATAATTTTAATTATTTAACAATTTTTTAAAGTATGTGAAAAATGTTATTAGTAAACATGGGAAGCTTATTTAATTTTTTTATTTCACAAACTTTTATTGCAAGCAAATAAAAATAAAAATGCAGTATAAACAAAGAGATAATATATTAAACAAAAAAAAATTAATTTATAATAACGATGTGCACATGCAATATGTGTAAAAAGCGTTATCTACGAGCATATATAGTCATATGTGCATTATATATATATATATATATATATATATATATATTACTATATCTATATATATATACCTATATATCTGATTAGCATTTTTATTTAATCATATAATTGTATAAAACGTATAAATTTGGCACTATCCCATTGATTTGGAATGCATTTTTG